CATATAGGAGTCAAAGGTGAGAAATATTTCTTCTATCTTGTTTTTAGTGCCCCTATCGTGTCTGGTGTGCCTTAAATCTTACCTTTAAATGAAGACTCTGGACTGTTTACAAATGAAGTTTTACACTAGGACCAGATCACCCATACAGTTGGTCTTCTGCAGTAACAATGTTAAATTCTCTCTCCTTTTAAATCTTCCTTTGGGGTTGCATAAAGATTAATTATTTCAGAAAAGCTAATATTTTAGTAAATGACTTAGTCTAATCTATTGGGTAATGCTGCTTCAAAAAATTGTCCTCCCCATTCTAAAAATGAACTCACCCAATCAGAAAAAAGGATTATTCTGCTATTTATAGATGATTGCTAAGGCTTGAAATGGGAAAGAAGGGATAGAAAATCTCCAAGCCCAGTGGTGCAGTGAATTCTCTGTTTGAGTCTCTTTTACACTTATTTCTGAAGCTAGAGAACTTTCATTGTCCTGTGGCTTCATATTTCTAGAGCTTCTTAACTGTTTTGTACCTCAAGCTGTTTTTACATATCATTGAAGAATGATGTCTACAAATTATGTTGAGCACCCTTTTCCCTTGGAAAAATCGCCTCTGCTATCTTTCTAACTCAATCTTTGTGTGTTTTAGGAACAGTTTTCCTTAAGAGGACAACTTCTCATGACCATGGTAGTTATTCAGTAAGAAACTTGCCACTGTTAATCCAGTAGATGTATGTCCTGGCCTTCTGACTTCTCTGAACCTGATTCCTTCATTTGCAGTGATGTCCTAGGAATGGAAAAAGTATCCTCTGAGCTTTTAGATGGTCAGCAACAGCAGCCTCTGGGCACTTCTGAGTTTCAGTGTGTTCTAGTCTCTTGTGAGTCCTGAGAGGCAGCAGGAACGTTTCTAGGGTCACACCGACGTTTTGTTAAAGCAGAGTTTCCTGCATGTTTTATGGTGCTGCTCTAAGATACTCTAAGAACTGGGCCAACTCTTGGAGAATGAATTTTTCAAGTTTTTCACTGTGGTGGGTTTTTCCCTCCAGGTGGTAATGGGCAATGGATCAAAATCCTATCCTAAATAATTGAATTTTTAAGGTAATGTTCTGTGGAAACACCACTCCCTCTCCTGAGTCCATCTCAAAAGTTCTGTCTGTCTTCATCGGCTCCAGCACATACTGTAGACTTCTTTACAGGTGACCATTCCTCCTTCCTCAGTAGGTGTCTTCAGTGTTCTCCAACCATTTAAAACTGAATTTGACAAGTGGCTAAAATCTTATTTAGTCTGAGACTTGTATTTAATATATAGTTAATTCTAGAAATAGCAACTATTTAAAAACTACTCTGTTGACTGCTGTTTAAGACCACACTTGTATGAGTCAGCATCCTACACCATTGAGCTCTTTACAGGCACCCAGGAGCACAGTTGGTGAATGAAGTTGTTACATAGTAGTCTTGCTCAACCTGGGCTGGGCTGTGGGAAGAGCTCCCCTCCAGGTGATTCTCAAGCTTCTACAGTCCAGCCCAGGCCGTCTTGCTGGGGAGTATTCAGCCCATTGCTTGCCTCAGTGCCACCTTTCTCTGGGCAGGTAGCTGAGGACTGACTCTAAAAGCATTGAGGACTTCCAATAAATTTACAGTTATAGTTGTTGAAGAGTGTAGAAGATTGACTATCACTAATTTAATTCCCCAAAGTAAAAGCAATCTAGAGTAATGTGTGCACATGCCTACACACCCCTGTGCTGTGAGGAGTTCTCACACTGATAGATCCTTGGGCATCTGGGCTGCACTTTGAATGACACACTTGTGGCTTTATTAGATTCACTGTTGTTGTTTTTACTTGTTATTTCTTTTAATTAAGGAAAGGTTTACTCAGCTAGCTCAGACAGCATCATTTTGTGTTTAATGACAGAAACTTTGGGAAATTACCTTTATTGAACGAGCTTTCATTGTGAAGCAAGCGCCTGCAAAAGGCCCTGTTCTAAATGAACGTTCCGACTCTGGAGGCCGGCAGCACGCTGGAGTTTCAGAGCAGCCAGTGGTGTCTCCAGTCCGTGATGCCTGGTTGTGCAGAGGAGAGGTAGCTGTGCACTCTTCTAGGCGTGAGGGTATGCAACTTTGGATTTTAAAACTATGTACACATACACACTTTATATATATGTATGTATGTATGAAAACATGAAATTAGTTTGTCAAAAATGTGTGTGTTTAGTATTTTAGCTTAGTGCAACTATTTCCACATTATTTATTAAATTGATCTAAGACACTTTCTTGTTGACACCTTGAATATTAATGTTCAGGGGTGCAATGTGTATTCCTTTTAGATCTTTAAAGCTTAATTACTATCATTTGTAGTAAATTAACTTTTAAAATATATTTGAGCCCTTTTGTTGTAGTATAATAGGGCTCTTACAGGGTGGGAAGGATTTTAATTTTCCAGTTGCTAATTGGACAAAATGGCCTCGTGTATTTTGAATTATAGGAGTTTGCTTCTGGGTCTCAGGAACATCTACTTAGAATGACTAATTTTAGGCAGATTGTGGTGATGTTTTCAAAAACAAAACAAAACCTAAGAAAGTTGGGAAAGCATTTCGAAACCATATAGGCTCCTGTAACTCATGTTCCCTAATTATGTGGAACACAGAGTTCAATGTCATTTAGCTTTGTGTTGGAGAGGCAGACTTTTTCCCAATAATAAATAATATTGCACATTTAAGGTTGCTATTCTGTAAGATAAATAGAAGAGATAAGTTTGGAATATGTAGTGACAAGAGGCCAAATTGGTCATGTTTGTGAGCATATTTTTTACATACTCACTTGAAGGAGAAATTTGGTGTAGACCCCCAGACCCTAGAACCAAGCTGGTGAGTGACAGGAAGAAAGTTATTAATAATCAGTAAAGCAGATGCTGATTCTATTCAGTTAAACCCTATGGTTAATTAAAAAGAACTGTCTCCAGAAAAGGGAATAGAAAGAACATCTAAGTCTCTTCTTTTTGATAAAATTTGGTCACAGAATAAGGCATCAGAGTTAAGTCTAAACCAAGTCTTGTAGATCTTGAAGTATCATAAAATAGCAGCCTAAGTAATCATCATGGAATGAAGTTGATTTTCGGGAATGTGGGCATTGACCCTCTCCTTGCTACCATTGCTCAGCTAAGCATAAATTGCCATTCTTAAAAAGAAACAAAAAAGGCTCTCTAAATGAGCATGGGGGGGGGGGGGGGACCTACCACCCAGAAATTCTAGTAATATTCAGTTTTGACCTCTTCCTGCTTCCACGTGGAGTTTCTTTTCAGCTTTTAACCATTGGAGTTTTCTACTTGCTGTGTTCCTCTCTGGAAAATATCTCTTTGAAAATGCTGCCTTTCAAGTCAGTGCCATGATTATCCATACTGTTGAGTTTGTTGTTGCTGTTCAATAAGTGTCCCTATTTTATAACTTTGTGCACACACCTGGCAAATCACTGACATTAGCATTCAACAGTACTGGGGTTGGGTTAGGGTGGGGCTCACCAACAGAGCTGGCCCAAGTGGCAGTACCTGAAAAGGCACCATCTTTGAGGACCAGATATGGGGTGGGTAAGCACAGTTATGAAAATTTCTATCTAGCCTCCGTTTTGAATGGTTTTAAGAAATTTTGTATATGGAGGATGGAAATGCTTATATATTTATTGAAAATCCTTTTATCTTATTTGAAATTAAAATTATTTGGTGAATAATGGTTTGATATTTGGGGAGGGTTTTGGAGGGGAGGTAACACCGCTGATAAATTAGAAGCCTTGTTGATTCTGCAGAAAGGTACTGTTAGTGTCATATTGGATGCCTTTGTTTTGTACATGATCCAAATCTTTGTTTTATATTTCTTTTATCCAAAATATTTAGGCATCTGACATTTTCAACCAAAATTTCAATTATATACTGTGATTTTTATTTGTTGCAATATGTTAAAATTTCAGAGGTACTTTGGGGTTCAAAAGCTAGGATTTCTAAGTCAGTATGTGCATTTCACATAATAAAGCTGTTAATGGTGAGCAAAGTATTATATACTAACTAGATTTTTTTCCACATCTGTATAGTATATTATATGTATTTTGTGGTATTGAGATTATAGAAAGTTTAGAGTGTCAAACATGCGTTTAATGTGTATTTTTAAACAAATTTATGGCAATTAAAATATTTGGAGACAAGGGTATCACATTTCAATTTGTAAAGATCTTTTTAACTCTACTGTGTCATTAAGATGCTTTGTATAATGCCAAACCATAGCTGGAGAAACTAAGTTTAATAAATATCAAATAGATTTTCTGTATTAAAGTTTATAAACACTGTCAATTCTCACTTTGCCCTTTTCATGTAATTTCTGTTTTGTGTTTTAGGATCCAATGCTAGACTCTTTAAAAATCTGGCCCCGCTAGTCCAGGTCTCATTTACTGATTATAGAAATTCTGCACTTTTGCTGGCCAGGGGTCCTTTTGCATAGATCAGAATTCACCCTGCTCCAACAGAAATCTCAGACAAATCCTTTTTGCTGTTCTTGGTGCTTTGGGCTTTTATTGTTTTATTTAACTAGATTTTCTTTCAGTTCTACCTTCTGTTCAGTCACAGACAAACTTGGGCACATCATCAGGTAGCAAGTGCCAGCATTGCCTGTCTTTGGCACCATACTGAAGAGTTCTTTTACAGGGAGCAAAAGGCTAGGATCCAGGGCCACGGCTTAGGAACTTGCTGAGCACATATCTATTACTAAACTGATGTCTATAGCTTGCCGTTGTGTTCTTGAAAAAAAATAGTTAATTCTCACTACTTTTGTTACTACTCGCTGTTAACTTTCAAGATTGAGAAGTAAAACATCGTCATCACTTCTTGGCCTTTTGGCTAAGATCAAGTGAGAAGTAACAACACATCATTATTAGGCAATGCTGTTTTTTTGTTTGTTTGTTTTTCATATAGTAAACAAGTAAACTTTCTTCCCTTCAAAGGCTTAAATTCCAGACTGCCAGAATTTCAAATTTGAGACCTTTAATAGTATACATAAAAAAATAAACTCTAAATTGACAAGTTCAGTTATGATCATCTAAATATCAACATTCTAAGAAGAAACGGAGACCAATTTAAAGCATACACCTGTCTTTAAATATTAAAAACACAAGATTGCTTCACTGTGTCTCCAGCCAGTATGCAGTTAATCAATATTCCATAGAACGGAGCATTGCTGTTGGTGAGTTCTGTCCTCCTTTCCCCCGGTATATACATCATTCCTGGGCCACACTTAGGGAACAGCGTCTCTTTCTAAGGAAAAAGAAAAGGTGGTTTTTAAGACAAAGGTAGCAGTGCCTAAAGCCAACCTGCTGTTTCCTTTTTCTGATTGATCTATCCAAGCTTAGGGAGGACTGCAGAAAGGAAAAGCACCACTCTCATGACACCTTTGTGGAGCTGTCCTTGGCCCTTAACTCTTGAAGGATTCTCCAAAAAGCTCCCAGCCTCAAGTCCTTCATCCCAAGTTTATTCTTAGGTCTGTGTATGTGCTGGTCTTTGCCCAGCTTCCCAGGCCTCTCTGGCTCAGCCCTGCTCCCAGGTTGTGGAGTACCTGCATAGCCTGGTGATACACTCGGAATCATCCCGGCAGGAGGCTCCAATGGGCCTGAGGGAAACCCCTCTCCAAAATGGGGTCATTCTCCGCAGCCTTCTCTTTGCTGAACTCAGTTCCGATATTGGGGAGCCATCTACCTGTAGGGCAAAGACAAATTCACCTTAGGTGTGGAAGAGTTGAAACTCTGCTGCACATCTTGGAGGAATGGTCATTTCTCAGGATGCTGTAGACCGAGGGCAGAGGAAACATTCCTCAGGACAGCATCTGGCTCTCAGGTTCTGCTTATAGCACCACCATCCCTGCACATCCACATGAGTATCCTTTTCTTACCTGGCCCAACAGTAGCAGGCAGATCATGAGCGCTGCGAAGAGTTTAAAGTGCCACATCTTAACACGAGATGGCGGAGCCTGAAAGCCAGGTATAGTTCCCACTTTCTTTTATAGACTGAAATCTGCCTCTTTCACGGTTGCCAGGTGAGATGGGAGCAAAGTTTATTTTTGCAATCAGGGTCGATTTAATAAGTTAATGTCTACCAGAGGAATGTGCTCAAGGCCTGCCTTTCAGGCACGTTGTATTTACTGATCTCTCACCTGGACTTTGAGTGATTATGTTGGCTGGCTTGGACCCTTTCACCTATTTTAGCAAAGGTCAGCATAACCCCCACCCCTGTGAAAGCCACATGAAATCACTGAGGGAGGCCAGGCACCTAGCCACATTTTTATTCCAAAATAGCTCAGCGAGATCACTTTAATCAAAATGGAATTCTAATAATGAGGTCTTCAGAAATAGTATTGACCCCTTTCAGCCTTGTCTAGGAAAGAGGCACTAATCTATTGTGTTAGAGGTATTTGGATAAGGCCCCTCATCTTTCTACTGTGGGAGGATGCTTTAGCAAGCATGGTCTACAGTGCCCCAATCCCTCATTTATGTAGATTGACCACCCTAATTCTCTGCTCCAGATCATCTCCCTGAAAGAGTAGAGATCCAGTTGTGGAAAGTCCAAAACGTTGTCCACCTGCCCTCTCCCCGGGAAAGGGCTATCAGGACTGATGTGGGACTTATGTGAACCACAGGTGACGCAAATGAATGAGTATAGGTTGTGAATGAATTGGGAATGAGGGCTCCTAAACCAGTGGGAAAGCTTGTGTGGTGGTGAAGCCTTGAGTTATGGGCTTTCCTCCCAGTAGGTGACTGGGGCCTTCCAAAGAGCATGTCTTTCCAGCAGCCTCGGAGAAGCAGGTCTAGGGCTGAGCCGTCTCCAAAGCCCAAAACCTATCAGCTGAAGTCAGAATTGCTGCTGGCTTCTTGGGGCATGGATCCAAATCATGAGTAGTTATGGGTACTCATTAAATGACATGGGCATTTTAGTAAATTTGGGGGCAAAGGTGTGAATTGTGCATAAAGAGATTTATAGGACTTTAGATTTTCCTGTGACCTAGAAGGGTTAGCAAACGACAAGTGCAATAAGATTCCTTTTCTGCCTAGTGTCTGCACGAAAATTTTGCTGCTACCTATTCCCAGGCCCCTTTTTCTAATCTTCAGATGTTGGGTATTTGGTGAGAACCTGCCTGATCTCCAAGGAGGAAAAGATGGAGGAGATGTGGCCCAGCTGAAGGTGAAACAAGGTCGCTAACCCTCTTGCCAAGGGAGAAGAGGGTGGTGTGGTGGACCTCAGAGCTGGGATTGGGCAGGGTGTGGCCACAGATCTGTCTGTCCTGGTTCCAGTCCTCTCAGGACCTTGGAGCCAGGCCTGGAGGAAGACATCACTGCTTACACTTTAGGAATATTAAGGAGCAGACTTCTGCCAAACCTATGCTGTGAGTTTGTGACTAGTTAGATGCTCCTTTACCCTGATCTTGGGTCCTGAATGACCCCAGGTAGGAACTTAACTGGGAACTTTTGTGGGGTGGGGAAGAGTCTACGTGGTGACCTAGTGAACATTGGGTAAGAACAAATCTGATTAGATAAGCTAAACACTGAACAACGTGATGTTCTAGAGCCAGTTGGGTCTGTGGACTCAGTGCCAGCCTCCCCTCTATCAGCCTGAAGTGGTGTGCCAAATGAGATTTGGAAACTGCTCATTCCAAAGATGGGTACTTTCTCCTAGTCCTCCATTTCTGCTTTCCTGTACTCCTAGCAAAATCAAACTAGCCTTTTGTGTTAATAAAGCCAAAACCACAGCCAAGGGGAGGGTCTGTGCCCCAGTCCCCCTGTGCATAGAGGAAAAAAGGACCACTTATCATGGTGTGACAACACTGCAGAAGCCTTTGTGGCTCAAGCTGTCTTGTCTGCCACCTCCTCTCCAAACAAAAGAACTATTAGTTACCACTGGTAGAAGGAGCCACTGTTAGGGAAAGTATTTCAGCATGCGTTTAAACTAATCTTGCTGTTGTTTTATTTAAATTCAATATGGAGCAAAAATCAAACTATTAAAAGAGTGGAACCAGGCAGTATTAAGCAGAAGTGACAGCAGGTATCCACAGCTATCCTATACCTCTTGAGCAGTTGTGAAGGCCCATTTCTGAAATTTAAAAAGTTAAGATCTTTCAATGTCGTAGGCTCTCTACAAGTATTTTGCTGAATGAATAAATATATAATTATATGTTCCTTCCTCCAGGGAAAGGCCTAAGCAGCCTTTAACAATTTCAACCATAAGAAGAGTGCTTGGCTGGGAGGCAGGAGTCGGGTGGGTCTAGGTAGAGTAACTGATCACAGGCCATCCCATGCCCTCTTTGGGCTTTAGTCTCTTGTTCTGTCCATGAGATGGAAAGAGACCCCTGAGGCCTCTCAGGCACTGACATCTGGGGGTTCACGAGATAAATTTACAAGAAGAAATTGAGACTGAAGCATGTTAGATGGTTTATAGCTTGGTTAACTGTGAACAAAGCTCCTGGGGATTTTCTGCTTTGGAGGTAAGTGCATGGGATGAAATGGGAAGAAGAGGGTGTGTAGTACACGAACAGATGTTTGAAATACATTTCAGATGGAGCAATCATTAGGGCCTGACAATAACTAGAAACTTTTTTGCTGTCCCCAAGGAGGAGGTGCCTAATAAAAAATGACTTTCCTGAAATGGAAAAACTTTTCCAGGTGAAATTTCAACAAAGGGGCAAAGTGTATTCACTTTTTTACTGGCTAAAACTGGGCCTGCACTCAATAGACCTGTATCCCCAGGACTGTTGTTGGCCCACTAAAGAATTCCCTTCACCACATTCTGCAGCCCAGAGAGGAAAGCCCTGGGGGTAGGAGCACTGCTAGGGGAAGAAAGGCAAAACAAGAAACTGGTTGTGTGCCCCCAGCGGCAGGTAAAGGAGCTGCACCCAGGATCCAGATTGGTGGGTTATAAACACTGAGGTCCCCAGTAGCAGTTCCTCTTCCTTAAGAGATTTTACCCAACTTTTCCTTTTCTTTATGGATTTCTATGGATAGTCTCCAAAATGATCCCAGATCCCATGTCATGTGTAGGAGCACTGAGCTATGACCTCTCACCACATTCAATACCACCACCACCTCAGCACCCTGCTACACAGCTTTGTGCCCCCAAGTTAGAGAGGAAGCCCTCTGATGAGAGACAGGCTTAAAAGTAGCTTTTAACAGTTTATCTAAAAGCAGAAACTAAGGGTACTCCTGGGATAAAAAGGATTCAGACCAACAGCCTCAGTGCTGAGAAAAGGTAAGTTTGATTTTGAGCTGGTATCTCCAGAGGAGTCAAAGAAAGTCTTAAGGCAAAATGAAGTCAAGAAAGTGGGAGAGGGTGTTCATCTCCTCTAGGAAGCTTGGGGCTAAGACCAGAGGAGGTGAAAGAAATTCGTGAATGGCAGTGGTCCTCCCCTGGTGTGTGAGTCTATTGAAACTGCAAAGTTATGGATGGGTGCATTTACAGCTCTCATTCTCAAAAAATCCATGACCCAAATATGTTACAGATCAGGCAAGCCCCTGAGAATAAATTTGGACCAAGAGCCAAACACAAAAATCAAACCATGTTTGGTGAATCTTCATCATAATAGCTTTCCTTGAAGCCCACACCACCTTGCCAGATTTATATATTACTTATTTATACAATGAGTATAAAGCAACCCTATGGCTTTGTAGTAACATCTGTTTTATGGGCAGCAAGTTCAAAGTTCAGGAATGCAGGTTTCTTGCCTGTATCACTGAGAGGAAACAACAGTTAAAGGGTATGGGCCCAAGTCTGTCACTCATCATTCCTCCTTATCCTGCCTCACAATCAATGCAATTTATATTACCAAAAATGTTTTCTGTTTGAAAGTATTTTAACTTTAGTTCTTAAAAAGCAAGAATAATCACTAGAATAAGAAGAAATAATACAGCCTGAGACAGAAGCTGAACTACAGTGAAAGTTGCTGCTCTAGACCAGCAAGATGTGTCCTTAGAAGAGAGGAAATTTCTAGAAATGGAGCAGGGAAGAAGCATAAAACTGCCAACCTTGCCCCACCAACTCCTGTTGAAATGAAAAAGGCATCTTTTTGAGTTACAGTCATGTTCTCTGAGTTCCTGAGTCCCTGCCAGCACTGCCTGGATGGCTTCCCAGAACCATGACCTGGCCACCCATGAAGAAGCTGAGCCCAACAGGGGCACCACCCAGGCATCCAGGGCAAGAGGTGCATGGTGTGGAGGTTACAGGAGCTGATGACCCCATGATGTCTGGCAACAAAGGAATCTCTGCCCTTGCTGAATCAGACAACCTTTCAAGTGGGTGGGGACCATCCACGGAGCAGCTGGCACAGTGTATGAAGGCATGAGGTATAAGCTCTGCCTAGAGCTCCCCAGTGGCTACCCTTATAACACACCGTGAAGTTCCCCACCCCCTGCTACCATCCTGATGTGGACACCCAGGGTAACATCTACCTGGCTGCCCTGGATGACGTCAAGGCCACCCTGCTCTCCATCCAGAGCCTGCTAGAACCTAACATGGACAGCCCAATGAACACACTGCCAAGTTCTAGAAAAACTTCACAGCCTTTAAGTACCTGCAAGAGCCCGGCCAGTGTGGCTCAGTGGTTGAGCACTGACCCATGCACCAAGTCACTGGTTCAATTCCCGGTCAGGGCATATGCCCAGGTTGTGGGCCAAATCCCCAGTGGGGGCATGCAAAAGATGGCCAATCCATGTACTCCCTCATTGTTGTTTCTGTCTCCCTCTCCCTCTCCCTCTCCAATTATTAAAGAAAAAAATTTTAGATAAAATTACTAAGTACCTGCAAGAAACCTATGCAAAGCAGGTCCCCAGCCCCAAGTGGCTGTCCAGTCTCTCATTGTGCTTTTTCTTTTTAAAATTACGGATTTGACTGATTTTAGAGGAACATCCATTTGTTCCACTTATTCATACATCCATTGGTTGATTCTTGTATGTGCCCTGACCTCAGATGAAACCCCCAACCCTGGCAATATTGGGAGGATGCTCTAACCAACTGAGCTACCTAGCCAAGGCCTGTGCTCTTATCTTTGCCTTACATGTTCTGTCTTTGCTTTGATTTCTGTATAAGGTTGTTGTATCTTCAGCTGTGGTGTGGTATTTGTTTTGTTTTTTTCAATGAAACCTGGTTGAACCCGTGATGAATTTTTTTTAATGAAACTTTTCTACTGAAAAGGTAATTCAAAGGCTCCAAAACAGAGGTTATCTTTTTCCATAAACAGCCAGAGAGGCTTTATGGGGCATATATGGTGAAAAAAATCAGTGTTAGCAACCTGGTACAAATAGCCAGGGTGCTGCCTCAGCTCTAAAGGTCTAGGAGTTACCTCATCCCTCATCCAGGCTAAGGAAGGCCTGCCTTAGGAGAAAAGGCAGTACAGTGTAACTTTAATAACAAACTTTAGCGCCAGACTCCAACATTCACTACCTGTATACTTTTGGGCATACTGCTTACCCTGTGTGTGCCTGTGTCCTCATCTGCAAAATGAGTATAATAATCATACTTCAAAGGTAGTTGTGAGGTTTAAAAGGCTTATTTGTGTAAAGGGCTAAGAAGAGTACCTGACACAATGATTACAATATAGTTCTATTTTATTATTATTGTTATAGAAGCAGAGGGATGGGAACCAATACCACCCCCCCAGTCTATGCCATCCATACTGGCCAGCCTGCAAAAGCAGCTGCAGCTACTTTCTTGAAGATTACACTGTAGAACAAGGGGTGAGCCCCACTCCACCAAATTCCCAGACAAGCCAGAACTGTTCAGGGCTCATCCAGGAAAGGGAGTTCATTAACTCGAATTTTAGCAAGTCACACCCAGGACTCTGCCAGCAAAGATGCAAAATCACAACACTGCAGCCCATAAGAAGTTTATTGTGTCTTCAAGACACTGTACAATGTAGACTCCTCTCCCAGAGAAGGATCTTTCATAGACAAGGAAACATCCTCCTGATGAGTAGCTCATTTGTCATTTTCATAGACAGCTGGATTCTTCCTCTTTGATTTCTCAAACTCCTCCGTCCCCCATGTGTAGACAAGATAAAACGCTACAAATGCTTTAAAAATCAAAAGTGAGAGAAAGCAGTGAGCACATATAAAACAAAGGGGTCCCCGTCTTATTTTCTGAATCACACCAGATTCTGCCCTTCAGTTTCTAGTTTTCAAGAAACCACTTTTAAACCAGATAACCAAGACAGGTTACATTAGCCCTGGCCGGGTGGTTTGGTTTGGAGCGTGTCCCAGTTCACCAAAAGACTGTGGATTCGGTCCCCAGTCGGGGTGCACACAGGAGTCAACCGATCCATGTTTCTCACACTGATGTTTGCCCCCCTCAATCAAGTGAAGATTTTTTAAAAAGGGTTACATTATACACCCATTTGAAGTTGACCAAAAGGGTCTACCTGGGAAATTCTGTCATCAAACCTTCCCTATCTCTCCCCTGTGGCACATTTTAAATTTTTGAATGAGATAACAGATTATTTTCATAAACTTCACCATTTACAGTGTTGTGCAACCATCATCACTATCTGCTGCACATGAACACCAAACAGTTCGTCATTAAGAAAGTAGTGGGTGAACATGACCTCAGAGGAAGACAAGTCACACAAGTGACCTTGGGCTACTCTTAGGTTCTCTGTGACAGTTTTCTCATCTGTAACACGGAGACGATATGACCAGTTCAAGGGCCTTGAGGAGGTTTCAGTGAGAAAACAAACGTGCGCACAGCGAGGGGCAGCGCGGCGGCCCCGCGAGCGCGCGGTGGCGGCCCGCGGAGCGCGCGGTGACGGAGCCCCGCCCCGGCCAGGGCACTCACGCGGCGCCACGCGAAGGATGGACGCCTGAATGCGGCGCAGCACGTTGGGGATGCCCTTGCTGAAGTAGTGCGGGAAGGCGCGCTGCTCGAAGGGCGACAAGCTGTAGGTGATCACATGCCGCACCCGTGCCAGCTTCCCAAACTCGCGACCCATGGTGGCGGCGGAGCCTGCAAGACCGAGGATGGAGAGGCGCGAGGCTCAGTCCTGGGACGCGCCGCCCGCACCCCGACAGGCCCTCCCCGGCGACCCTCATCCTCCCCCACCCAGGCGGCGCCCCATTCTCCCAGGGGCCACCAGGACCGCGCGACCGAACCCCAATCGCTCACCGGGGTCACCTCGCCCTGCACAGTCGTAGGATCCACTGGCCTCCGTACGCCACTTCCGGTAGGGCCGGAAGCTGCTCTAGGCCATGAAGTCACTTCCGGGGAATACCACGTTCTCGCAGTCTCCGGGGAAGGCGCCGTTGCCCCCTGCTTTGGAGAGAAGTGCCCTGGTCGGGCGCCTTGGTGGGTGGGCGGTGCCTGGGCCAGGGGATGGGGCACAGCGGTGGAGACCGTTGTGCGGGCTTTGGGGCCCTGGGGCGCCCTGCCAGGCGCTCACGTTTCTCCTCTGCCCTCCGCCTTTTGGTGCAGCCGCAGGAAGCGGCCGGTGCCGAGGACATAGAGGTGACGAGAAAGGGGCCTGCCGACCTCGAGGGCCGCGCTGGCCGGGCGCTGAGCGCCTGCGAGCCCCCCCACTGTGGAGAGCGGCCCGAGGCGAGACGGTGCCGCACCGCGGCAGCGGACGCGAGGTTTCACTCCGGCTGGGGCAGTAGCTAAAACTCGGCTTGACCCCAGTACCAACTTCAGGGGCTCAGAGCCGGGGCTTCTCTTGGCCACCGCCGCCTGAGAATCCACTGGCAGGAGGTAGACTTTCCCAGGGTAAAATTAAAACGTTTCCGGAGGAACAGCCCCAAGAACTCCCAAACAATTGTCAAGCAATCGATAAAGGGCTGTTAAGCGGCGGTAAGAGGGAAGAAGGAGACACCCCTGCGGCATCCAGCTCCCCCGTGCCCGAGATGCTTTGGCCTGGGTAGAGCGGTGTGGGTACAGATCGTGACGTCCACGCTTCTCCGCCGACTTTCCAGGAGGAGAGGCATTACCGTGTTTTCCAAAGGTGCTTTCTACCTAAGGATGCTGCTGCCCAGTACAGCTGTCGGGCTGTTCTACTGGCCGCAGTGTCTGGAAATGTTTCTTTGTGGAATTGCTGTTGTATGTCCTCTAGGACTAAGGCCCCATTCAACAGTTTGGGTGTATTTTATAACCCTGCTTCCTAGCCACAGGCCAGGGAGGCTTGGCAGTCAAGGAACTTAAATTTGCAGACATACCTCAGTTTAATCATGCTTAGTACTACACAAACTGGTTCTGTATCTTTTACCAGGAGTGTGGGTTGCCTTTTTACGAAAACAGAGTCTCCTTAAGGTTGGCACTGATATCTCCTCATTTCAGCTATTCATGGCTCACCTTTGTCTGGTTTTTCTAAAACGTGATCTCTAAACGTGGTCTCAGCTCCAAGGCAAGAACATAACTGTTAATACCCTAGGAAATTCTACCACCATTTGAGTGATTAATAACATAGTAAGTAAAACTTTCATGTATTTTTCTAGCACCTGCAAACATGTGTAAACCTTTCAACCAAAATATGTACAAGGTGAATGTGCAGACAAAACAAAGATAGCAAGATTATATTTAAAAATGAGGCAAGGTTAAAGGTGATGTCCTCCTTTTTAAAGCATATTGTAGCCCAGTGGTGTGGCTCAGTGGTTGAGCGTCGACCCATGCACCAAGAGGTCGCTGGTTCTATTCCAGGTCAGGACACATGCCCAGGCTGTGGGCCTGATCGCCAGTGGGTGGCATGCAGGAGGCAGCCAATTTGATGTTCTTTCTCATAGATGTTTCTATCTCTCTCCTCCCTCCCTCTCTCTCTCTTTCAAAAATCTAAAAATATCAATAAAGAAAAAAATAATAAAGCATATTGTAGTATTCCAAGTAAATTTTCCATCCTAAGCCACCTGGGAGACCTGAGCAACCTAACAGTTCTCTGCTCTCTCTCACCCTCCAAATCAACATGTGGTAACTAATTATTCCAAGCACCTGAAAGTGGGAGAGGTGGTGAGGATGAAGGGACAGGAAGAGTAAACCTAATACTATAAATTGCATATCAACAGATCTAAGTATCATCATGAATAATTAGTTAGTTTTTCCACGTGCCTTGGAAGTTTCAGCAAGCATCTAAGGAACATTTTAAGAATCCTCATCTTTCAAAAAATGGGTTCTTTTAAGATCAGTTCTCAATTTCTCTTAGCCTTTCGGCTGCATAGCTGGTGCATTAGTATAACGATAACTTAAGAGGTTTTAAATAAATGCCTGGAGAAAGAAAGAGGAAAGCAAAAGAACCAATATATCTATATCTAATGAGGACAAATTGGATAAATAGATTGTTACCAGCTGTTTGATATGCAGCTGATAAAAATTATCTTCAGCTAGGCATCCTTGAGGTCTGATTACAGAGGTGACCCTAGCCCACCCACACACCTAAATTTTATTTAAGAGATCAACCTAGGCTCTTCCTGGCTTGTAGGAAGAAGACTGGTATGACTGTGTTCCTTGCTCGTTCTTCCAAGCCATGGAGCTTCCCAGCAAGTTCTTTTATTGGTTTGGCTGCTTTTGCTGGCTCTGTTTTCCTATTAGCCTTGGTTCTCAGGCTTCTAGGAGAGAAGCTCAGATTGCAGTCAGTGCTAAGTTGGAATCTGAGGCTGAAGCTTGGTCCTTGCTGCAGCCTCTAGATGAGAGAGACCGATCTGGCCTCTTTTCCCCTCTCTTCAAGGTTCTGTGTGATGTGCAACATGGGGCCCCTAGGCTGCAGCCAGACTCCAGAGCTTTGCGCTACATGAAAAGACTCTATAAGGCATATGCTACCAAGGAGGGGATCTCTAAATCCAACAGAAGTCACCTCTACAACACTGTTCGGCTCTTCACCCCTTATGTCCAGCACAAGCAGGCTTCTGTGGACCAGGTGACAGGTGTGTAGAAGCAGACTGGTTAATGGGTGGAGGGAAGATGATAGACCAGGCTGCACTTCAATTACAAAAAAGAACTGGGCCTTGCTCCTTGAATTGCATTTTACTTTTCATGATACTCAGTATCCAAATTCAAACAAATCTGGCACTTGGTCTTATTGTTCATTCTAGTGCCCTCATGGGTTAAGGTGGGCTAATATGATAGAATTTTAGAGCTAGAAGAGACCTGATGGCTCTAAAGGCTGAGGAAGGTGCTGCTGGAGAAGGTTAGCATCTTGTCCAAGGTCACAAAATCAAGACTGGAAACCAGGTATTTTGACTTTCAGTTGCTTATTCTTTCCCTTCTACCAATGCTGGCCTGAAAATATGCCTAAAATACCTCACAGCTATCTGTGTGCTTTGTCACACCGACTGTTTTCCCCTTGTTTATTGCTTTCTGGGAGAGGAAAGCTTAAGTCCCCATTTGGAACAGTAGGTCCTCAGGAGAACAGGCATCAGTTTGACTCAGCACCTTGGTGAGTTTGTGTGAAAGGAGTAGTGCTTTAAAAAAAGAAAATTTAGGCTCACTAGCTCATGGTTCTAACACAACAGGTGAGCGGTGACTGTTTAAACCCTCTCTCCTTCCTCGCTGTCCTATTTTATTTTGGTGGTTTTAGAGCCTCCATTTGTCTATCTCAAGTGTTCCAAATTAATTAAGCTTTTTTTATTGACACCATTCATTAAGGGTTAGAATGTCTGCTTAACAAACCTAGTAAATGTTGCTTATTTTCCCTCTAAAGAGTCCCTAAGAGAAAAGTATTATTTTCCTTATTAGCTTCCTCTGTTTGGAGCAAGTTATTAAAATCCTAAAAATAAAACCGTGTAATAACAATTTCTGTTACTTTAATTCACCACCAAATCGGTTCTGACTTTCTGGTGAGAAAATAATCCACTTGTAGTTGCTGGGAATTAGTTATGGTCCCAATTACCTGTATTTTCTATGTAACCACCCCCAGCTTTTCTGAGGTTTGAAAAAGTGGGAAAAGAGAAGAGAGAAAGCACATCCCGAAGTACTAAGTCCTTGATTTGATTTCCTGTTCTGTTTGTGTTCAAGCTCTACTGGTGAATTGTTTTTCTCCCCAGGAACGGTGCCATCAGTGGACCTGCTGTTTAACCTGGATCGTGTTACTGCTGTGGAACACTTACTCAAGTCAGTCTTGCTATACACTTTCAACAACTCAGCTTCTTTCCCCTTTGCTGCTAAATGCATGTGCCACCTGGTGCTGAAAGAGCCAGAGTCTTCTAGCAAGACTCTCCCTAGAGTCCCACGTTCCTTTACCTTTAAATTACAGTTTGAATTTAGAAAGAAATACAAATGGGTTGAGGTTGATGTGACCACCCTGCTTCAGCCTCTAGTGGCCTCCAACAAGAGAAGTATTCACATGTCTGTGAATTTTACATGTGTGAAAGACCAGCTGCAGCACCCTTCAGCATGGGACAGTCCCTTGAACCTGGTACCTCCTTCACTGCTTTTATATCTGAACGACACACGTGCTCAGGCTTATCACAGGTGGTATTCCCTCCACTATAAAAGGAGCCCTTCACAGGCTCCTGACCAGAGAGGTCTGTCTGCCTGCCCTATGGGAGAAGAGACTGCTAAGGGAGTAAAATCTTCCCGTCACCGGAGAAGTCAGGAAACTGTCAGCTCAGAATTGCAGAAGCCTCTGGTTCCAGTTTCTTTTAATCTGAGTGAATACTTCAAACAGTTTCTTTTTCCCCAAAATGAGTGTGAGCTCCATGACTTTAGACTTAGTTTTAGTCAGCTGAAGTGGGACAACTGGATTGTGGCCCCTCACAGATATAACCCCCGATACTGTAAAGGGGACTGTCCGAGGGCAGTTGGGCATCGGTATGGCTCTCCAGTTCACACCATGGTGCAGAACATCATCTATGAGAAGCAGCTCGACTCCTTAGTGCCAAGGCCATCGTGTGTGCCTGCCAAATACAGCCCTTTGAGTGTGTTGACCATTGAGCCCGATGGCTCAATAGCTTATAAAGAATATGAAGATATGATAGCCACTCAGTGCACCTGTCGTTAACATGTAGCCCTCTAAACTAAAACCTTGAGCCTCTTTGGCAAAGTGAATGCCCTGTGCCTACCTGTGTCTTCAGGACAAAGCTTCACGTGACAACTCTAAATATAATGCAGTGTGTCTTATATAAGGAGTCTGTGTAAATTGGCACATTTTGTGGCTTCTATCAGTGTAAAGGGATAACATCTGCTTTTTTTACTTGCAAATGTAAATGAATGTAATTATTTTGGAGAGGTTTCCATTTTTTTACCTAAGCAGTTTTTTTCTTCTTTTTTTTGATGTTAAAAACTTAATTAGCATTAATCTTGGATGGGATTGCAGCTCTAAACAAACAATTCAGTGTTATACTCTTATTTAGTGAAAGAATAAATTCCTGTCAGTGGCATAAATTTTCTGTATGTGTGTTTTATTAAATAAGGACTGCTTTTATATGGTGGTTTGAAAGGCAGAGGAAGCATGTCTAAAAGCTATCTTTTAGGTTGACGCTCAACCACTGAGCCACACTGGCTCAACTTTTGATTTCTTTCAGAGTAAAAAAGAGAGTAATTTCTTTACCTAAATTCTGATGAAGAGAGGTTCACTAGGTTTAGAGTGTATGCAACAAAACCATTTCTGTTGGATTAATGTGACTGGTACACATTATTCTAACTCTGCTTGTTAGATGGCTTGTATAATATTCCTTTTTTTTTTTTTTTTTTTAAGGAAACTGCCTCGCAGATTTTTTTTTCCTTTATTGATTTTAGAGAGAAAGGAAATGAGAGGGAGAGATAGTAACACTGATGAGAGAGAACATCAATTGGCTGCCTCCTGCATACCCTCTACTGGGGATTTGGCCCACAACCTGGACATGTGTCCTGACTGGTAGTCGAACTGGCAAATTCTTGGTGCATGGGTCGACTCTCAACCACTGAGCCACACCAGCCGGACAGCCTTGAAGATTTTTCCCAAGAAAATGCTGTGTTAAAGATTTTTAAAATGTATTTCTCCTTAATGTATTTAGATCTCTGACCCTAAGGAAGGAAGTCAAAGAGCATTTTTTCTTTTTTTCCAATTTCCCTTAGCTCCTGTCACTCCACCTCCACAAAATTTTTTTCTGGTGGGCTTTGGACTGTTTCACTGATCGAAGTTGGCAGTAACAAGGTTATATTACAGAGGGGTGTTTGTTTGGATATGAGAGCAGATATGTGGGTTTTCAGTCAGTTTACCTTAGAGCCCTAGGGGCACAGAGGGCTGATGCAGTGATTTCTGTTTGAGTTTCTAAAACCATAGTCTATAAAACAAAAGTAACTCCTAGGTGCAAGAAATACTTTCCATTCTTGTAAATGATGTTTTCTTAGTACCTAATGTCTAACTAAAAGATGGCAGCTTGGATTTTGATAAGGATGATGTTGAATCTGTAGATCAGATACAATACTATCCATGAACATGAGCTCTTTTCCCCTTTATTTAGATGTTTTATTTCTTTCAAAAATGTTTTGTAGTTGAGTATACATTTTGCACTTTTTATTAAATTCTAAAAATCTTATTCCTTTTGATGTTATTATGAATGGAATTATTTGAGGGATTTTTACTAGTGCTGTCATGCATACACATTACAAACCTGCACATACTGACATAAATGCTCTGTTTTCTGCTCATTTTTTTCTCCTTGAAAACATTTCAGAAGTCCAGCCAGTGTGGCTCAGTGGTTGAGCGTCGACCCATGCACCAAGAGGTCACCAGTTGAACTCCTGGTCAGGACACATGACCAGGTTGAGGGCTCGATCCCCAGTGGGGGGCATGCAGGAGGCGGCTAATCAATGTTCTCTCACACTGATGTTTCTCTCTCTCTCTCTCTCTCTCTCTCTCTCTCTCTCTCCCCCTCTCCCTCTCCCTCTCCCTCTCCCTCTCCCTCTCCCTCTCCCTTCCCCTTTCTCTAAAAAATCAAGGAAAAAAAAATGTTTAAAAAAAAACATTTCAGAAAAAATTAGGACTGAAACAAAGGAAGAAATTTTAGGTGGCCTAGTTTCCAAATAACTTTACCATCTTGTGTAACTTGAAAGCATCATTATTCTTTGGTAAAGGAGGCTACACGTCTAAGAGATAAATGATGTTTCAGTGGTTTTGTATCAATTTCTGTCATTCTTAGGAGTAAAAAAATATCTAGAATGGAAAGGCCATGAATATTAGTGGCATCATACAATTGAACTTCCTTGAAAGTAAGTCTCCTTTAAATCTGGCTATTCTCAAATGGACCACATGAAATGTAAACTTAAGGGATTCCTCATAGTTCCTCAGTTACCCTAAAGTGATTTAATTATTGTTTTTCTGAAACAGAATTTTGCTTAATTTTATTTTATTTTTTCATGGCCTGGTTCTATGACTGAGTGTGGAATATGCTCTGCAATCTAAAGGTTTTGAAAAGAAGAAAATGAAGGGGTAGTTCTGATGAACATTAAGTATTATGGTCAATACCAGATTTGGGAACAGAAAAAATAGTTCATCCTTACAGGTAAGTCCTAAAGTTTACTTCCTTAAAAAATAGTTTGAAGAACTAGAAGCTTGCCCAGCTGGTGTGGCTTAGTGGATTGAGTGTCGTCACATGAACTGAGCAGGGTACATGCCCGGGTTTTGGGCTCGAGCCCCAGTAGGGGGCATGCAGGAGGCAGCCAATCAATATTTCGCTCCCACATTGATGTTTCTATCTCTTCTTTCCTCTTTGTAAAAAAAAAGAAGAAGAAGCTTGGCTTTTTTTTAACTTTTTTTTTAGGCTTTATTTGTAAACTTAGTTTCATTCGTAAGACAGTGTTAATATCCAGGACTGATATGTCTGCTAAATTTAAACTTTAAAGATTCTCTTCTACACAATGGAGGAGGATATACCAGTCTCCCAACTGCCTCCTCCATATGAAACCTCTTTCTCTTGGGTTACTCTTACAAAAGCTGCCACTTTAGAAAATAAATGAGAAAGGACAGCAGTGATTTAAATCTGGAAATTTAAGGATGAGGCCACATCTGCCTTAAATAGACGCATTCAGCTTTGGTATTTAGTCCAGATGAGATATGAGGTCACCTAATGTGATGAGTGCCTTAGTATGCCAGGGAACAATGGGGCATGTCAGGAACTGGTTTTACCTTCAGCTCCGAGTTTCCTGCTTTTTATCCATTTAAATCAACTCCTGTGTTACATTGAATACTTTGTGTTTTACTAATCAGCTTCAAGAGCAGCAGCCACTTGGACTTGGTTGAGAGCTCAGTTTAGACAGTCTGTGGGAAAAAGAAAGTTGCTCTTTCATGGGGTAAAGGAGGATGTATTACATGGTTATATAAGCGGTAAAAGCAAAATGCTCAGATAGAAGAACTTGGTTTATATTAAAACTTTAGTCAATTCTAATTTGTAACTTTGGAGTGATTGCAACTTATAAAATGAAGTGAAATGATAACATTTAAATATTATTTTAGAGGAAGTCAGTTCCAGTAACATTCCTTAAGTATGGAGATTGGTTGGATGGATTGATGCAATAGAAAAGTGTGCTGTTCTTGCCCTGGCCAGTTTGGTTCAGCGGATAGAGCATCGGCCTCCAATCCCGAGAGACCTGGGTTCGGTTCCCGCTAAGGGCATGTACCTCGGTTGCAGTTTGTCTCCGGCCCTGGTTGGTCGTGCGGGTGGCAGCCACTCGATGTGTCCCTTTCACATCGATGTTTCTCTCTCTCTCTCTGTTCCTCTCTCTCCTTCCCACTCTACCTGAACAAAAAATGGAAAAATGTCCTCAGGTGAGGATAAAAAAAATAAAAAGAAAAGTGTGCTGTTCTATCCATTAACTGTTGTCCAGCTAGAAGGAAAAATAAACACAACCAGGAGATTGATACTTCATCTTTTACCAGAATTGACAAGTTCTCCATGAGTAGTTAATTACTTTCTGATGCAACTGCCCTTCCCAAACCAAAGATTTACTGGTCAATTTTTGGAAAGGGCCTTGGTTTGTTAGAGCAGGACTATTTCAGTATCCATTTAAAGAACAGGATTCTAGCCCTGGCTAGTTTGGCTCAGCAGTACAGCATCAGCCCTGGGACCAAAGAGTCTTGGGTTCGATTCCAGTACCACAGTTGCGGTTCATCCCCAGCCCTGGTCGGGGTTATGCGGAAGGCAGCCAGTCAATGTGTCCCTCTCACATTGATATTTCTCCCCCCAGACACACACTATATTTGAAGATATTTGAGAAAATATCCTTGGGTGAGGATTAAAAAAACAACAACAAAAAAAAAACCCCAGGATTTTATAGGTGGCCTTACTGTATTTCTTTGTCCTACCTTACCATGTAATGCAACATTTATGGGAGAATTGAGTAATTAGATATATGTGGATAAGTGTTAACTGTACCTTTTAGGCATCTTAAATGCTTCATGAATGGTTTACAGAGTTATTTATAGTCCTGTCTTTGGTGCTGGTGTTTTTCCAGGTTGGAATGCTATGATAGGCAGTGTTACAAGTTCACAGCCTGTGACTGGATGTCATTTTGGCTTTCTCAGAAATAATTAGCTCATTGAATAAATATTTATTGAACAGTGACTATGGGCCAGGTGTCATGTGTGTTTAAGAACAGAGTCTAATGTTCTCAGCTCCAGGAAAAAGATATCACCTACCAGAAATGGCGGCTTCTTTATTAGCCTAAATTCTATCAGTGAGCATCTGTCATCACAGATATTCTGTGGAAGAATACATTTTGGGGTGAGTCCTACATAAGCAGGCTGAATAAATACTAAATTATTTTACCTTTAGATTATAATTTTTAAAAAATATTTTTTCTTTATTGATTTTAGAAAGAGAAGAAGGGAGAGGGAGAGAGAGACAGAAATATTGATGAGAGAGAACCATCGATTGGCTGCCTCCTGCATGCCCCCCACTGGGGATCAGGCCCACAACTTGGACATGTGCCCTGACCAAGAATCAAACTGGTGACCTCTTGGTACATGGGTCAACACTCAACCAGTGAGCCACACCACCTGGGCTAGTTTAAAATTTTCAATTAAATGGTTTATTTTAAGACAATTGTGGATTCACATGCAATTGTAAGAGATCTCGTGTAGCCTTTATCCAGTCCCCTCAATGATAACATTGTGCAAAAGTATAGCATACTGTCACAACTAGGATGTTGACATTGATACAATATATTAGAATTTTTCACATTGAAACTCATTTAAGAGAAATGCTGATCCTAACATCAATAAAGTTTTGATATCTCCTGCTGGAACTAATGGTTCAGTATTTTTCATGACCACTTCATCTCTCCCTTGAAACTGAGCCTTGTTAAAATACAAATTTATTTATTCAATAATTGTTTACTGGG